TCTTTCTTTCTTTCTTTCTTTCTTTCTTTCTTTCTTTCTTTCTTTCTTTCTTTCTTTTTTTGGCAGGGTTTCTCTGTAGCTTTTGGAGCCTGTCCTGGAACCAGCTCTTGTAGACTAGAAAGAATTACTTATGAAAGAGTGCAGGTGTGTGCATGATCTGTGTGTGTAGGGGAGGGGTAAATGTGCCCTGGTGCTCACATGTGAAGGTCAGACAGCAGCCCCGTAGAACCGGTTCTCTCCTATCTTTATGTGAGCTGTGGGCCTTGAACTCCTGTCGCCAGCTCCGCATGGCATCTGAGCCATCTCACTGCCCCACCCCATGTTTTGATGGCCACTGCTGTCAGCATAGTTCTGGTTTGAAATACAGTAATTTTAAGGTATAGCTGCCAAAAATTTGTAGTCAGGAGGCATTCCTTACCTCGGTTTTTTACATAACTTGAAGTAGTATTATCTGTTTACATTGAAATATGGACAGTATCCCCTTCCCAATAAATTACATTTATTTACTTAAAAAAATTTGTTCCTTTCTTTTCCACCTTCCATACCCTCATATAACTTGTATCTCCCTTTTCTATTCTAGTCAACCGCCATCTTGAAACATCCAAGAAGTTTCTTTCATAAGTGACATCCACAGCCACAGCATCCTTAATGCATTGGCCAGTTTCCCAGTTATCAATTTGGAGATGGATCGATACACTTGCATGTGCTTGTTGGAATATCTGTGTTACTTCATTTCAATGCACGGATCACTCGGGCTTTGTTGACCTAAGACTTTTCAATAGGATCTCAGAATTAAGAATGATTTGGCACCCCCAAATTCTACCCTTGCTTTTTATCTTAAGCCCCAGTCCCTGACTTCCAAGGTGGAGAGGTCCCATCTGCCACTCTTGGCTCCTTGGTCCTTTGGTCCCTTCCCGGCAGAGTCTACATTTGTGGATTTAGGGGCTTTTTAACTAATAGCTTGGCTGGTCTGCATGCTCCACAAGGCAAGGGGCTTCTCTGGTTTTGCTGACAAACTGCCCCCTGTGTGAGGCATGCTTCCTGGCATGACGTGTTGGGACTTAGAATTGATGGAGAGAAGTGATGATATTGGCCCTTGGGTTGTCGTCGGCAAATACCAGCTGTCTGTTTCTCCTGCTTCACCTTTAACCTCATTTTGATTAGATTTATTTATCGGAAAGTGACTGAGACTGGCTTTTGGTAATGATTCGATGATTGGGGAAGAAACTCAGAGTTGAAGATTCGTTTTGTTCTTTGGAAGTAGTGGCTTGGCTGGGTGTAGAGGCCCACATTTGCAGTCCTAGCACAGAAGGCTGAGGCAGCGGGACTACTGTGACTGACTTTAAAGCCAGTCAAGGCTATGTGAAACCTTGCTTGAATTATTGTTTTGTATTTGTTTTTGTTAATTTTTTTTGGCTCAGATGACACATACACTGAGTTACTTATGGGTTACATCATGATATATAATCTTTTTTTTAAAATATTTATTTACTTATTATGTATACAATATTCTGTCTGCAGACCAGAAGAGGGCACCAGACCTCATTACAGATGGTTGTGAGCCACCATGTGGTTGCCGGGAATTGAACTCAGGACCTTTGGAAGAGCAGGCAATGCTCTTAACCACTGAGCCATCTCTCCAGCCCCCATGATATATAATCTTGATGGATGTATAGACATTTGGGGGAAGGTTTACTAGATAGTATACGGTTTTCCCCTCTTTGGGTGGAATGATCTTTTTTTTTCCTTTTTATGTAATGTAATCATTAAAGATTATAATCAGACTTTTTTTCTGTATGCAATGTCAAACCTTTATTTCATTCACCCTCCACATTTAGTAAATCAGCTGGTTTGGGGTTTTTGTTTTGTTTCTTAGACAAGGAGTCCTTCTATAGCCCAGGCTGTCCTGGAACTCACTGTGCGCCCCAAGCTGGCCTTGAACTTGATCCTCCTGCCTGAGCCTCCAGCTATGAAATTACAACTGGGAGCCACCATTCTCTTCAGCTTCCTTTTTTTCTGTTAATATTTTAATTTTAGGTCAACGTATAAAGAAAGGGTTTCCTCACGGCATCTGTGTACAGTCCAAATTTTATTATTTATTGGTTGCTAGAAAGGGAACCCAGAGCGTGTACACTAACACCAACACAGGCCCCATGCCGCCCCTTTCTGGTGACTTTAGTTAGCAATTATTCCATTCCCTCAGAGTCCCCAAAGGCAACTTCCTAATTGAATTCTGCCGTGGGGCCACAAAGAGGACAAAACTTGTTTGTTTGTTTTTGTATGCTTTTTAAGGTAGGGTTTCTCTGTAGTCTTGGCTGTCAAGGACCTGGCTTTATGGACCAGGTTGGCCTTGAACTCAGAGACCTGCCAGCCTCAGCCTCCTGTGTACGGCCACCACCCACCATCTTTGTTTTTAAATAAATGATTACATATTTAGTGTGTGTGTGCGCGCGCGCACGCGTGTTCGTGTGTATGTGTATGTGCGTATGCATGCCATGGAGGGCAGAATGGGCTTCATTGGAGCTGGAGTTCCAGGCCGTTGTGTGCTCCCTGGTGTGGGTGCTGGGATCCCTCTGGTCCTCGGACAGAAAGGGTGCTTAACCACTGAGCCATCTCTAGCTTCTGGGAGTTAAACCACAGCTTCTTCCCCTTTCTCTTGTTTTGGGGCCTGCCAAGCAAGCACACGTCAGCCCGACAGAGTTAAACCTTTGTTTACTCAAGTTTAACATTTCAATGCCCTGTGTTTTGGTTTTATCTCTGACACACTTCAGTAAAATGCAGGGAGTCCCGTGGTCAGGCTTCAGTCTTCATATGCAAATCCTAGGGGGAAAGGGCCTGGTCAGTTATTTGCCTGCTTAAGACTTTATGGCTACTCTTGGGAACCGTGAGGTTGGCTTCTCATTTCCTCCACCGCGTGTTTATGAGCTCTGTGCTCTGCTAGTTTATATTCATTCAGTTGCTGATGGACCAGTGACTAACGAATGGGCTTCCATTGCTCTGCAACTCGATTTCTGGAGCCAAACTGAAGGTCAAATTTGGCACTCAGAATGCCTCTGAAGCAAGCAACCTTTGCTTTTAACCTTTGTTTATAAATAAATAATTCTCTCTCTCTCTCTCTCTCTCTCTCTCTCTCTCTCTCTCTGTGTGTGTGTGTGTGTGTGTGTGTGTGTGTGTGTGTGATAGTCCAAGCTGACTCCAAACTCACTCTTTAGAGGATGCTATCCTTAAACCTCAGACTCTTCCTCTACTCCTGTGGAAGGTGGAGTTTTTGTGTGTGTTACCTATATTCCAGCAGATTTTCCCCATGACAAGAGGGGGCTGTTCTCTTGCTATATCAGAGACCAAACCCAGCAAGCGTGCACCTTTGTCATCATGGCCCTTGAGAGACTGAGGTAGGGACATAGCAAGTTCAAGACCAGCCTGGGCTAGATAGTCAGTTCCAGGTTAACCTGGGATACAGAGTAAAAAGG